AGTCCAAATTGTCCAGGTTGGGTTCAAACTCATGACTCTCCTGCCTCAGCCTCCTGAGTCCCTCAAATTACAGGCATGTACTACCATGTCCGGTTTTAGCCGCATTATTTAGCCTTGGAAATTTACAACTAGAATAAGTAGCAAGAAAATGATGTGGGATGCAAATCTTCTCTGGTCCCAGAGCCCATACATCTAATTACACTATAATGCCTCATTGCTCCCAATCCTGAAGAGAAAATCCAATTTTCTGATCCATGGCATTATCATCTTGGAATGGACAAGGGCATATAGATCTATTAATCCCACCTGTCCTCTATTTCATACATAAAATGAAGATAATAATAGTTTTACCTCCTTCTTAGGATTCTTATGATGTGAGATGAGACCATACAGGTAAAGCACTTGAACAGTGCCTAGCAGATAGTAAACATTCAACAAATAGTAGTCATTATTATTATTATTATTACTCTTTGGGCTACCAACGTGAGCGGGAAAATACCACACAAATGGAAGAGATGCCCTCTTCCACCTCTATCCATGAACGAACAGCAGAGATACTATTGGTAAGAGATAAGGGGACTTTCTCATCTCTGACCCACTGCTTATGTTCCTGCACTTGGGAGGCACTGCCATCATTGTCTCAACTCCTATGGGATGCCACCCAGCCCAAATACCACTTTTTCTGTGAAGTCTTTCCAAATAAAGGGCTCCTGTCACTGCTGAATCTCCCTAGCATATCATCTATACCTCATATTATGCCTGGTGTACTTGCTCAGGCCTTCTACTGGACTGTGAGCTCCCTGATAGTAGACCCTAGTGCTTACCAGGTGGTCTCTGTTTCCTCTTCTAAGCCCTACAGAAGAAAAGACTCTCTTAGAAAATGTTAAGAGCCATGGGGCCTGGGGATATAGCTCAGGGGCACAGCACCTTGCTTGGCAAGTGTAAGGTCCTGAATTCAATTCTCAGTACCAAAAAAACAAAACAAAACAAAACAAAACAAAACACTGCACTGGAAAATGTTAAGAGTCTTGTGGAGACCCCAGACTTACTGAGGCTGAAGGGAGCTGAGAAGCAAACCAGGAATGGTGAAGCAGGTCAACACAACAGGAACAGAACTTGGGGTAGCTCAGAATCAGGAAAGAGCACAAGGAAAATTCCTACACATAAAAGCAAGTGCAGCAGGAGAAACAAGGGAACTGAGAACAGAAGAGTTGAAAGGAAAGAGGAGAGGGGGGAGCAAGGTGTGCTGAACCTGAATGAGGAGTGAGATTCGAAAAATGGAGTCATTCTCCAATGATTCCCAAGAGAGTAGATTCCACTTCATAGACTCAAAGAGGAACCCAGTGAGGGTGAGTGGGCAAATACATAAAAAACTACGAGGAGGCTGGGCACAGTGGGACACATCCGTAATCTCTGTTACTTGGGAGACTGAGACAGGAGGATCTCACATTCAAGGCCAGTCTGGGTGACTTAGTAAAACTGTCTCAAATAAAAGGGTTGGGGACGTAGCTCAGTGAGACTGCCCTTGGGTTCATTTCCCTGTACTAAAACAACAGGTAAGAAGGTGAGTGGTACCTTAAGAAATATCATGGAGAGCACTTGGCAGTTAAAAGAATGAAGAGACCAGACCGAAGATGCCTCAACGGGAGGATGCTTAGGTAGAGAGGGATGGATAAGGGGATAAGAGACAGGTGTCTTCAAGGAGGTAGCAATTTAAAGCAGAAGCACGAAAGAGCTAGGAGGCAGCCTGAAAGGGCCAAGGGAAAACCGGCAAGAGAAAGTGCTAAGGGAGATCTGAAAGAGAACCACTCAAAAGCAGAATATTGAGGTACTCAGAGATTAGAGTAACTTTGTGGAGAAGTTAAGATCCTTTCAAGAAGCGTAAGAAGTCTTTCTAGCTGGGCGTGGTGGCGCACACCTGTAATCCCAGCACTTCGGAGGCTGAGGCAGGAGGATCATTGTGAGTTTGAGACCAGCCTGGACTACAAAGTGAGCTCCAGGCCAGTCTGAACTGCATAGTGAGACCTTGTCTCAAAAAGACAAAAAACAAACAAACAAACAAAAAACAAGTCTTTCTAAAAGATGGGTACTTCATAAAGAGTGCTCCCCGGAATAAGGGGTTAGGTAGGAGGGCCCAAAGGTATACCTGGAGGTATTTTTTAGAGGACTTTTTGTGGGGAAAGGGAAATCTTCCTAGAAGGCAGTGACTCTCAAAATTGAACATGCATCAGAATTATCAGGAGGGTCTGGTAAAAACACAGGTTGCCAGGCCCTGCATAAAGGGTTTCTGATTCAGTAAGTCTGGGTGGGATCAAAGAATTCGCATTTCTAGCAAATGCTGCTGCTACTGTGGCCCAGGGAACATATTCAGAATCACTGTTGTAAAAGAGGGGTTTTCTTTTGTAAAGGAGCCCTCAAAAGTGAAAGACTTTTCAAAGAAAAAAGACAGCCCTCAAGAAGTCCCTAAAAAGCATAGTAATGTCTCTTACTCTTTAAAGGCAAGAGAGGTCTATGAGGGTGGGACCTCAGAGGAAAAGGTTTGAGAGAAAAGTTTGAGCACTGGGATTTTCAGGGGGCATGGGTGTGAAGGCTCTTTAAAAGGAGACCAAAAAGCCATGTGGTACACACCTGTAATCCCAGCTACTATCTACTAAGGTGGTTGAGGAAGTAGGATTGTAAGTTCAAGACTCACCTGGGCAAACTGAGTGAGACTGTCTCAAAAAACAAAAAAAACAAAAAACAAAAAAATGTAACTCTGTGGTAGATTACTTCTGAGTAGAATCCCTAATAGTGCAATCAATCAATCAGTCAATAGACATAGAGGCTCAAGGGGAGAAATCTGGAGGATGCAGGATCTCTGACATAATGGGGGAAGGAGGCTCAGAACCCAGAAGGGTCTCTGAGTTGATTTCAGAGGAATGAAAATGGGGGAGTGGTCATAATAAAAAGGGGCCTTTAAGGGGATAAATCCAACAGACTCCTCAGTAAGGTGGGGGAAATCCTACGGATAGTTCTCAGGAAATATAAGAAAGTACTAGGTGTTGCTGATGCAGAACAATTTGGGAGAAAATTCTCTAAAGGGTATGTGGGCAAAGTGTGATCTTCTGAGAGATGTCTTGCTGTACTGCAGGAGGATGGCAGAAGGGTCTTTTCCCAAAAATCTCCTTAGAGATCTCCGATGAGGAGAAATCTCTGAGTAAAGTCTCCAAAAGAACATATGGGCAGGAGGAGAAAGGCATTTTTGAGGGGGTCCTGAGAGGGTCAGAGTAGGTTTTTTAGAAAGAATTTTGGGATTCTAATAGAAGCTCAGAGTTGAGGGAAGATTAGGAATGTGTGTGTGAAATCTTCTACGGGGGTTCTTGAGGAATTGGGGGACCTATGAGGGTGTGATATCTCTAAGAAAAGTCTCTTAGTAAGGCAGAGGTCTCTGAGTAATGATTCAAAGGGCTCCAAGGGAGTCAGAGGGGTTTCTGAGACATTTCCAGGGTCATCTCTGGAGACTTTCAGGTGGTGGCTGGGCTCTCTGATGTGAGATCTGGAAAACTGCATCTTGGAGGGGTAATGAGGATACTGGGGTCTTATAGGGGCTGTGAGGAGGATCTTTACAAAATTTCATCTAAAATAGGTCTATAGGGGGAATTTTCAAGTTATCTGAGAAGAGTTCTGGAGAATATGACACTACAAGGGAACTTCTTATCCAATTTTTTGAGATGTGGTATGGGTTACTGGGAAAGATTTAGATTCATAAAAGGAGTTTTGGAAGCTTTTGGACTATGGGAGAAGAGTTTCTGGTAACTTCAAGCAATTTCTGGAGATTTTTGGGTCAAGGGGCGGGAAGAGGTCTGGGATGACTGTTAAGTACATGAGGCTAATTTTTAGAGCATTTCAAGGTTGAGAATTTGGGGGAGCATGAGGGCTCTGGGAGAGATTTTTGGAATCTGTGCAAAGGTCCAAAGGGGTTATTTAAAAGGGGTGTGTATGGGAGACAGCTGCCAATAGGGTAGTGGTGGACAGGCTCCTCCAGGTGAATTTTTGTGATCTAGGGGTATTTCCAGAGTCTCTGAGTAAGAGATCTGCCTCTTCCGGGATATGTAGGAACGAGATCTTCAAGAAAGATGGTTAGGGTTTGTCACAGGCATTCTAAAGGATTTGGGGGGTTAGGACTGAAAAAACTCTATGAGAGATTTCTGGGAAGAGGGTAGACGGGAGGGAAAATATTTGGGATATGTGAGGGGGAAGTCTGGGGGAGATTGCTGGGATATAAGAAGCTCATCTCTAGAGAAGATTTCTGGGGCGCCGAGAGGCCTGGGGGCGATTTCAGGGAGTCTCAGAGGGGGCTTTTAAGGGCTTAGTAGAGAGGTTCCTGGGGGAGATCTGAGACACACGATGAGCGGCCTCCGCGGAATATTTTTCCATCCTGGAGGATGTGAGGTCCAAAGGGCGGGGGTCTGTGGGTAAAAAACTGTGGGGACACAAGGTCTCTAGAGAAGGTGGCCGAGAAGGTGAGTAGTCTCAGGGGGGTTCTCAGCCGGACACGGGGAGTGTTGCGGGGGCTGCGGGGCAGACGTGTGCGGAGTAGAGGGAGGTCCTCGGCCCGGCCCCTCGGCGATCCGGAGGGTTTCGGAGGGAAGTTCCCAAAGGGGCCCGCCAGGGCGAGCCGGGCCGGGCGCGGGG